TTATATTTATATTTATATTTTTTTTTTTTTCTTTATTTTTTTCTTTATTTTTTTTTCTTAAATAAAAGACCAGAAAAGGAAAAAAATGAAAGAAAAAACAAGTGGCAGCACTGTCATGGGCCCTGTCTCTGCCGTGGTGCCCGGGGTGGGGGGTCCCAGTTGGGTTTGGGGGTGAGCCCTGGCGGATGTGGGGTCTGCTGGGGGATGACTCCGTTTTGACCAAACATTTTGGGGTAAAAGCTGTGGTTTTGAGGGTTCTCCCTCCAAAATCCTCCCCTCTTGGGCAGCCTGGGTGGGCAGAGAGCAGCCCCACCTGTGCCTCAGTTTCCCTGGCAGGTGAGCCACGGTCTGGGGTGCTATGTGGTGTTTCAAAAGCCTCTTTACGGAGTTTATCAATGTTGGGTCTGTGAAAGTTTCTCCCCTGTGTGGCCTTAAAATTTACCTGAGAGCTCCATGCTGGTTTTATATAAATAAATATAAAAAATATAAATATAAATATAAATATAAATATAAATATAAATATAAATATAAATATAAATATAAATATAAATATAAATATAAATATAAATATAAATATAAATATAAATATAAATATAAATATAAATATAAATATAAATATAAATATGGGTTGAGATGTGCTCAGAGGACAGGCAGGATATGCAGGGAGTTGGTTTTACTCTGCCCGCTTATCTGAACCAGCCACGGAGCTGATTGTGGCTCTGAGCAGGAAAATTAACACAGCTGCCTGGAACCTCTGAATCTCCTCGCTTAATTAACATAAATGAATATTTGGGGAGGGGGGAAAAGAATTTAAAAAGGTAAGAAAAAAAGAGGAGGGAAAGGTCAGAAAAGTCTGGGATAAAATTTTATAGTTGTAATAAGGGCTGGCAGCGCCTGACTCCGGTCCCTGAGCGCGCCCTGGGGCGGTGGAGGTGGGAGATGGAGCCAGCAGGGACAGATCCATGGGAATCAGGGAGTTTGGCACTGCCTGTCCCCACTGCCAGGTTTTCCCACTTCTCCTGGCTGCTCTCCCAAGCCCAAGGTCTGACACCAAGCATCAGCAGCGGTTTTCCAGCCCGTCACTTCCCATTCCTGCTGATGGATCCGGCTCAGCAGCCTTGGGAAGGCAGCACCCACTGCCCCACGGTGTTTGGAGGATGCTCTCAGTGCCCTGCGCCCCCAGTTTGTGTCCTGCAGCATCCCTGACCCCCTGGCAGCTCCTCCAGGCAATTCCAATCCCTGATTCCTGTCATTCCTGGGTGAGGGAGCAGAGCCCTGCACGGGGTGAGAAGAGCAAACCCTTCTGTGTGGCTCCATCCATTTATTGGTGCCTTTAGATGCAGATATTTATACTTCATGCATATGGATGTATTTCGACTTTATACATATATATGCATCTCTAATGTGAATGTGCATATATATATTTATTTCTATATATTTATTTCTGTATATTTATAGATGTATATCAATTTACCTATATGTTTATATATATATATAAAGGCTTTGCTCAGGGGCTGGGGTGCACTTACAGACACCCCTAAATACACTTCCCTGAGTCTCACTCACCATCTCTGTCCCTCTGGGAATTCAGAATACCAGGAAAACAGCTCCCCACCAATTTTTCCAGGGTCCTGATGCCCTGGAAGTCCATCAGGAAATGCACAACACCCAGGGACAAACCCCAGGGCTCTGATGGTGCCTGGTCCTCTTCACTCCTTCCACTTCCAGTTTATTTTTTTCCCATATGAATGATCTAGTTGGGACATAATAATAATAATTGTTTAAAAAGTCCCAGAGTGCTGTTGGAGATGGGGAGATGGAGGCTGCAGCTGGGGGCTGGTGGCACCCATGGGGACAAGCCCCAAACCCCCCTGTGCCACCCCAAACCCCCCTGTGCCACCCCAAACCCAGCACCTTCCCCCTTGTCTGCCTCAGATCCCGTTAAATAATCCCCAACCAAACCTCCGGGTGCCACAGAAAGGGGAAAAAAAAGGGTAAAATAATGAAAAATCAGTTCTCTCCCGTCTCCCCCAGCCCTCCCTGTGTTTATTCCTGCTGCCTTTTCCCTCTTTAGTGGCTCACTATCTGTTCCCAGCAGGCAGGGACATATTTGCATTTTAATTTGGCCTTGTGAGGCTGCAGGAGCCACCTGTGAGGAGCAGGCAGAGCTCCAGGGGACCCTGATGTCCCCCAGCTCCCCAGGGGATGCTCGGTGCCCCCAGCTGTGCCTTACAAATCCCTTAAAGTCTTAGAGAACCCCACGAACCTCGCAGAACATCAATGCCTGCATGCTCAGAGACAGGAGCCGTCAAAGGAGAGTGAAAAATGGGGATTATCCCTTTCTGAGGTCAGCTCCTTCCCTCCATCATTTCCTCACTCCTTGCGTTTTCTCTCATCCTCTAACCTCTCTCAGGGCCCTTTTCCCAAAATCCCACCCTTGGGGTGCCTCCAGCCGTGTCCCCAGGGCGGGACCTACCCAGGGACCCCAAATCCCGTGGGGCATCCGGAGCATCCCAGGGGATGGAGCGAGGCCAGGTTCCTCTCCCGGGATGAGAAGAGCCAGCTCTGACTGTCCAGGGGAAGTTTAATCAAAGCAGAGCCCGGCTCTGTTGACATTAGCGGGGCAGGATTTGCGCGGCAGCCGTGCTTTAATTACTTTGGTAATTGCACCATTATTTCTGGGGGCTCGCGGCTGTTTTTCCTGCCTGGCTCAGCGAAGATCCCTCCCTAGGGAGAGAGGAGGGATGCTCCTGTCTCGGCACCAGCTGGAGCTCAGCACCGGCTCCTGAGAGGCTCCGGGGAACGGGAATAGGAAAACCCATCAGATACCAAATTTTGGGGCTCCTCTGCAGGAGGAAATTGTTCCCCTTCCTCCCAGCTGAGGATCCCTCTGTGCTGCCTGAACAGGATATTCCCAAATCGCCCAGGAGCACCACGGAGCCTCCCCAAGGATCACGCTGTGAATTCCTCCCTTTTTTCTAGGAATCCCCAGATCTTGCAGAAACTCCCCATTTTCTAGGAGCTCTAAGGACGGCGGGACTGGAAGCCCTCTGAAATGTTTTCCAGGGCTTGCCGCGAACTTTTGCTGCTCTCCAGGACTCCCTTCGGGCTTGCCAGGAATTTTGGGGCCTTTCTGGATTTCGTTGGTGTGGGGCAAGGTGTCTCTACTCATATCACTGGAATTAGACAAGCTTTAAGGTCCTTTCCAACCCGAATCATTCAGGAATTCCCTGATTTGGGATAGAGGCTGCTCCTCCCAACCTCTGGGAGTTCATTCCAGCGCTTCAGCAGCGGGATGGTTTTGGGAGAGGCAGATCCTTTTGTCGTTCTGATTGGGAACGGCGATAAAGAACGACACGGACTCTCAAGGGAGTCACAACACGAAAATTCTCTGGTTTATTCCTTCAGGCCTGTTTTATAGACTGGTACGTGGAAAGTAAAGAAAAGAAACTCTTATTGGTTTGCAAAGTGCTACATCACCATCATTGGTCAGGGGCACTCTGCCCCCCTGACTTTCTCCTGCAAGGGAAACAAGGGGACAGACAAACAGCACCTGGCAGTTGTTTTCTGTCTCTGAGGATTGTTTTGAAATCCTCCTATGAATTTCCCAGGCTAGCTTCTCAGGCAGGACTGAGAGGCCATGGGCCTGCAGCCTGCTCCAAAGGTAGCATCCATATCCTTTAACCACGGCTGCATTTTCCAGGAGCTCTCCCGGCTTCCCGTAAAGGAGAGGACTCGTTTCCATTCTCCCGACTCAGCAGAGCAGGGAATGATTTCCCGGA